AAACCAATCATATGCATTACCTCAAGAAGGACCTTCCATTCTACTATATCATAAGCCTTTTTCTTATTTGATTTGACAACTACTCTTGGTTCACCACTCAAAAGCCTAGAACGATTACATTCCTAAGCAACCAGCATACGATCAGTGATGAGCCTATCATGAATAAATGTTTATTGTGGTACTGAAATCACCAAGTGAGGAACAACCTTGAGTCTTTCAACAAGCAGCTTTACCACAATCTTATAAAGACTAGTGAGTAAATTGTTAGCTCTAATTTCACTAAGACTAACAATGACAGATTTCTTGGGAATTAAGAAAATATAAGCGGAGTTGAATCCTTTAAAGATATCCCCTCTCTCCAATAACTCTTTGACCATATCTAGAAGCTCTCCATTGACCATGCTCCAAAATCTTTGCTGAAAGAATAAAGGAAAGCCATTTGGACCCGAAACTTTATCCTCAGGAAGAGAAAACAGTTTCACTTTAAGTTCAAACAAAAGTAACGTCTGCTTCCAGTTGCTCAACAATACGTGGTAGAGCCTTAAAATGCACACCTCCCATCTTTGGCTTAAAGAGAACCTTGCTGAAATGCTCAATAATACCACTCTCTAGGCCATCCCTATCACCTTCCTCCACATGGGGAATTGACGGTCCCAAGTCCCAAGATATCATTGTGGCATCTTCTAGGATTGGCAATAGCATGAACAAACCAAGTATTCAAAATCCCTCTCTTTAAGTCATTTAACTATCGATCTTTGATTCCAATAGACCTCTTCCAACATAAAAAATTCTTGCAAAGAGGTCAACCTAGCATTTGTTTCACGCAAGATATCTTCCAAGAGAACACCAGAGATCTGAATATTTTTTTCCAAAAGTCGGATGTCCAACAAGCGCTATCAATTTTGGACTTAAGCTAATATCGATTCTCCTCCTACTAGGCAATCAATTTATATTTGACATTGAGCAATTTTTTATGTAGGTGATAACCTATACTACCAGAGAATTTATTTTATACCAAGTGTTTTAATTAAATCTAATACCTCTTGCCCCTGAAGCCGCCCCAACTCCATCCTCAACTGTCTTGCCTCACCCTCACCACTTGTAGTGCTTAACTGAAGACAGTCTAGGGAGGCCTTTAATTGTCGCTAATGGAAATGCGTCCACCCAATCACTCAAAACGAAGAAGCAATCGAGTTTTGACATGATCCAATTAGACAAGTTATTATTTGACCGCATATAATTGATTCCAACAATAGGTAGATCCAATAAATTATATCTCTCTAAAAACCCATTAAAAAGAAACATTAAAAAGTTAACAGTACAATTTGAATAAGTTTCCTCAGGCGGAATAAAATTAAAATTACCCCCAATGCAAAAAGTCATATTAAAAAAAAAAAAGACAATAAATTCATAACATCATTTAAGAAAACTTCTTTTTGTACAGGAATATTAGGACCATAGACATTTGACTAACCCCCATTCAAAACCAGACATAGGACTTGTGAAAAAAACCAATAAAATTCTATCCCCCCTTGAAAACATTAAAACATTGCACGACATATGGATCCCACAAAGTTCACAAACCTCCCGATGGTCCGACCTCATCAACACCTAGAATGCTAAGTGCCCCATGACCCCAAACCTCCCTAGCTAAAGACATTGATGGATTCAACAACTTAGTTTCTTGAAAAATAAGAACATTTGATCTATATTTATATTTTTTGATGAGTAACAAAACATCGCTTCACTTCTATGACACATCCCTCAGACGTGTTACATTCCCACTAACAATAATCATTTAGGAGAAAAAGCAGAACCTGGACCTTCCTAGCCTGGCCCATCAGCAGCATACTCCCTTGAAACCGAAGAATTAACTCGAGGAGCTAGTATCTGCACTGCTAAGAATGATCTTCTTACCTTGACGAATCACAACTCTAGCACCAATCATTCTTCTCTCTCAGCAATTCTGACTGACAACCTGATCGGCTGATGAGAAACCTTAGCCTTTCATTTTCTTTTCATCTTTCCCGACACATTTGAAGCTATTGGACTAGCCTCTGTATTTTCCATTTTTTGTGCTATCTACATTTTGTTAGCTTCCTTAGCGGCCTTCAATCTTCCCTTGATCATTTGATAAAACAACAGCAATGGGCAGATTAAAAGAAAGGCCCATATCATTAATTAATCAAATATGTATAAATTTGTTCTTCAATCTCCTGACCCGTTACTCAGAGATCCTCACGGTCCAGACCAGTCAAAAGCAAGGTCAGCAATTATTTTCAAAAAAGGCACGAAATCCGACTCATTGACGGTCATATTCACACCCTCCGCAATCCGTCTCCAATCCATGCTCCTGTAAAGTGTTTTGCATATCGCTACCGATATCTTAATCCGAATCGAGCACTATCAGGGCTTGCAAATCCATCGCCGCTGGCTGTCTTCTAACGTTATTATTTTTTGCTGAAAGCCGGAATGGCAACACTCTCGGCCTCATGATCTTAGTAATAATCTTCAGAAGAAAGTAAAATGGTCTTAATATCCAAAGCAAGAAGAAGCCATTCACCCTTTCCAAATCTTCTCTCTTAAATCTCTTCTTTAGCGGATTATGACTGTTACTTCTCTCAGTAACCTTAACAGGAGGCCCTACAAGAATTGCTGACCTTTGGAATATGGCTAGATTTCAAGCATGTAAAAGGTACACCCGAAATTCCACCCAGCAGGCAACTTTTTGCATAAAAGAAACATGGCACGAAGGCTCGCAACATTCCACAGCTAGCAGCTTGTCTCGGACTCTTCAAAACCTATTTCGGAAAGCATCTGCTACCTCCTTTTCAGATCTGACATGGAAAACAACTATGTCAGCCCCAAAAGATTCAACTTATCGAGAATAAAACAAGGTTCACCCCTCTTCTAACCCAATCACTCCGACCAAAAATATCATTTTAAACAGGGCAGAAGGAGCCCACAATTATAGACGTCTTCTAGTCTCCTCAAACTCCTTCAAATCTATAGAAACTAAAGGGAGAGATCTCCATTCATCAGCCTCCACCTTCCCATAAGCATCCATCTCTCTCTCAATCCGAAGGACACCGTTTTCGCACAACAATGATCATCTCGCCCCAATGCGCGCAAGCCTGAAATTTTTCCTAAATAAAACCTTTGAATACCTCGACATTGTCACTCGCCTCCAGGTCTGCTTAATTGCGCAATTACAACTTTGTTTTGTTATCAAAATTTTGACAATTTGAATGTGAAGGAACACTTTAGTTGTTTCCATCCAAAAAATTGTGGTCCATTGTATACTTCCCTCAAATTAATAAGCCCCAAAGTACTGAAAAAAAATATATGTATACTTTTCTTAAAGGGAAAAGTTTATATAGGGCCTAGGCTCTAAACAATCAAATTAGAGCCTGCTTCAAAAATTTCACTAGAAGAGCTTGTTTTGATGCCCAAATATCCTCAAAATGATCATCTCAACATCAAAATGCATGGACCTGAGAAAAATGTATTTCAAGTTTTGAAAATAGTGTACATCTTGTAACGCATTTTTTTACTGTTAATTTTTAAATTTTTCATAGATATGCTCGATCTACACTATTTTTTAAGCTTTAAATTTATAAATTAAGATGAAAATATATTTTAAGGTTAGTCAAAGATTTCCAATATTGAAATCATATTTCTTTGATATTATTTGAAGGTTGTTTAGATCTATACAAACTGCACACCTTTTTCAAATGCATATATTGTACTCCCACGGGAGCATATATTGTGCATCTCCTCCCTTGCTCAAAATACCTGCTTAGGAGAATTTTCTTGGTCTAAAATTTTGGATAATACATAATAATCACTTATAATTATTTTTAAAAGAAAATTTAAAATTTTAAACTTCGGAAATTCAAACTAGCCATTCAAATATTAGAGGGCTTCTATTTAATCTTAAAGCATATTTCTTCCACTACATAGAAAATTTATTTTTAAAAAAAAATTCTGCCAATATGTTAAGTTATAATGGTTACATCTGATATCCAAAAAATACATGTAGCATGTCTTTTGCCTGATGGAGGAAATGAATAGTATCCTCCTGCGGTAGGAAATCTTTTGGCTTCTTAAATTTGGGCATAACCCCTTAGTTCTGATGTGAAACTAAGGAAGTCACAATATTTTTGGAAGGAATCTATCACAAAAAAAGGTACTAAATTACGTAAATTTATGCACATATTTTCATCCAAGAAACTGTTTTTTCACCCTTGTATCCGATTCTAACTAATACTCCCAAAAAGTCCCCCTGCCAAGATATCGTTAGCATGTGACGTGGCTCTCAATTTTACTCGTGTACCAAAAATAAATAGTTTCAATCTATACTTTCCCTTATGCAAAACCTCTGTTGAATGCGTGCCCAAAGAGTTTCTTTCTTGTAACTTCGAATGCTTGGCTGAGGAATGCAACAATGCTCAGTTTCTAAGTGCATGAATTTTACCAAGTTTGCCACTCCGTTACAAACAAAAAGAAAACCGTTTCATGCGGGCTGGACCATATTTCTACAATACCATCTTTGCAACTAGGTGGTCCACATAAAACAATTGAAACTAATGGTCCAAATGTTTTCTACATAAAATCATTTATTTATATTCATGATCCCAATGTTAGAGATTACATGTCCTTAAAAATTGGGTCAAAAAATCCATCTCAAAACTAGATTTTTAAGAGTCAGACTCATTTCTACATGGACTCATAGAAACAATGGGTCCCTCTGCTCAGTATTAAAAATCAGCAGCAAACAATGGTGAGAAGCATTAAACTTACATGGTAATCTTGATTCATAATTGCTTTTGAGGTGTGTTAATCTTATTTCACTTTCTTAATGACAAAAACTGGGGATTATTTGCTTATTTCCCTACAGGCAAAAGAAGTCATCTTTCAAACCTTGAACCAAGAACCAACAAAGAAGCATATTTAAGGAAAAAACCCTTTAATACCACATACTATACAATAAAAGGAAAGCAAATCGAATGAGAAAATACCTTGGATAATATATTGTATTCTCTATTTTTCTACAGCATTAATTTACATTTTTCTTTCTTTACAAATAAATGTGCACTCCGAAGCCGATCAATGAACATTTCATAAATGGGTACTTCTCTACCATCTCTGAACCTCAAAGCACCTTCGATGAAAACTTCAATTCAAGATGGTCCGATAAGACCAAAAATACCATCTCAGTTTTATGCCTCTTCCTTTTCTTGTTTTGTGACAAATAAATGGTCATGGAAGAAGAGTATTTGTCTTGTGAGCACAAGGGAACTGTTTGGAGCATAAGTCGTGCACTGCAAATAATGGTCTGATTCTGGTGAATGATACTCTGAAGCGATGTGCATGAAGCCGAGGGCAGATTCATCACATCCCAAGATCTGACAATAACTGACAAATTACCATACAAACTCAGCCATAATCTAAGTTTTGAATAAAGCATTGCAATATAAGATACAAATATATTATCAACCAATGGACTATGGAAAACTATGGTTCCTTGAGGCCATCGCAATTAGTGGTGCGCATTGGAAGCCCACAGCAGGGCATAACCCCAATAGTTGGCCTTGCTCTCTGTCCAGCCCACTGTATGTTTAATTGGATGGTGATGACCNGTAAAGAGTATTTCTCTCATGGTCTATGGCTTATAATCCACGATTCAATGTGTACGAACTTTTAGCCCTTTANCTAGACTATAAA